TGGAGAGATTTGAGCTGTTAAACCACTATATAACATAGTGGTTTAGACCATAGGAACGGCATTGATTGTTTTCACGTTCAATCAATTAAAAAACTGAGAGATCTCTTCAGAAGAAGAAAAAATATAACATTTTCAATTTGAAGCTGCTTGATTTTTAGAATTTAAGGGCCCTTTCCCCTCAAATCAGACAAACAAGTGAAACCTTACTCTTGAAATTACATGTCTATAGGACTACAACTTCGATCATCCTATCACTATTACTACACGATGTAATTAATATACACCAAATTAAAGATTTCATTTTTTAACTTTTCATTGTTTGAATCAAGTCTCTTCTTAAGAAATTTTTGACAAGGCTGAATCTTTCAGTAGAAAGTAATACTCGAAACAGCTGGACAGCTTAAAGGTGTAATTAAAAAATAATTCAAGATACCTTTGATAAAAACCCATCATATGCAAGGAGATAGTTGCTGTCAGGGTGATCCTTTGGAACCACCCTCTCATCCACCCAAAACACATGCCATTTCGACCAATCCACTGAATCAACATACGGTGGCTCCACCAATTTCCTTCAAATCAACACCAAGCATAAAAATCTTTCCATGAACAGAAGAAAAGAATACATATATTAGCAATTCATCATTTTACCTGAGAGACTTGACAAGAGAACCACCTGACAAAACAACGGTGAAAGAATCTCTCAGTTGAGCAAACTTATTCGCCAAATCGGCAGTGTATTTAGCAAGCGAAACCGCCAGATCCTCCTCGGAATCAAACACTTGTACCTTGGGTTTGCTATTTGGAGTTACAATCTCGGCCATTGATGCTTTTGTTGTGCACTTAAATTTCCTCAAATTGAGGTTCGATTTCAGGGAGCTGAAGAGCGGTTTTGCAGTAACAGTGTGTGAAGTCAACGTTATGTAGGGCACCGATCGATTGAAGTAAGGGGGAGAGAGATTTTGGAGAGTGGCTAGTGACAGAGCAGGCGAAGGAGAGGCCATGTGGAAATACGTAGACGAAATGAGTTAGGGGCCACCACGTGCGTGTATGAATTTGGGGGTTTGGAAAAAGAACTGCACTATACTTACAAAAAGAAACTGCACAGATGTCTCACAGATCAGACATTATTCATGGGTGGGTGATTATATTTTTTCAGGCCCCATTTGGTAGTTATTTTTTTCAAAATATATATTTTTCTCTTTTTTTAAACGACACATTATTTATTAAAATAATATTACATGTAAATAAAAAACTTTTCCATATTTTTCAATCACATATTTCACATCAATTTACTATTCTAAAATATATTTTTACATTAAAATACTTATCAAGCACCCCCTCAATATAAAACTGACATGGAACCCACCCATGTGAGTTTTCTAGATTTATTCTATGGGAAAGATTCTGTACAATCAGAATTACTGCTGGAAAAATCCTAGAAAGCCCCGACAATGCTCAGGTCAGACGTACTAGGGTTGACAACCGGTTCAAGCAGTTTTGATTGTTTCAACTGATATTTAGCTCCCTTTGGCTCTCATTAATTTCAATTTTATTTTTCTCTCCCCTATTTTTAATTTCACAATCTTCCATAAAATAATATTAAACGTAAATTGAATATTTTTTCTTCTTTTTTAACCACTCGTTTTTCAAAAAAACACTATTTTACCCTTTTTATTTCCAAAAAGGGGGCCAAACGGGTGCTTAAACGAGTTCCAGATCAAGTTGAGCTCGATTTTTAGCTTGTTGAGTTGAGGAAATCAGGTGGGGACTTAGGCCCATGGGCCGACCAGGTTTTGGCCTCTTGGTCAACAAGTCGACACTGACTCAACTCGTTGACCAATGGGTTAAGTTAGTGATGGCAATGAGGCGGGTTGGGGGTGGAGTGCCCCACTCCGCTTGGCCAAAACGGGACAACTTTTTATCCCATTTGTTACCCTATTTAATTTTTTTTTTTATATTTTGAAAGTTTCGAATTATATTATTATTAAAAAATAAAATACAAGTTCAAAATGGATTTTTAACGAGTAAATTGTTTAGAAATAAAAGTGTTTTCAATTTTTTAATTTTATTTTTTTCTTCACGGGGCGGGGCATCCTCGCCTCGCCCC